CCTGAAATCAGAAAAGGCTTTTTTGTTCGTGAATACAGACACAAACACTTATGTCCTACTTTCAAACAACTCAGGGAAGAGATGAGAGCAAAAACCTAAATAAGTACTTTTCTGACTAGGAACAGATGAGTGTATTTATGAAGATCATTTCAATTTTGGGGATTACAGAGAAGCTTTCAATTGGGTAATCCTGGGAAGCTTCCATGAGAATGAGGCATCGGAATCATACTTGAAGGATCAATAGTGAAGCACTGGGAACATGGGGAGAGACAAATTTCCAATTTGAGCTGTGGGAAAAGAAGATGATCTTAATCTAAAGAAGGGAAATCAGAGAGAAAGGAGGAAGGAAAAAATATGATAGAAAATAGAAGAACAAGTTAATTAGAGGTTGAAGAAACAAAGAACACAAAGAGGCTTACCATTGTTTTTTAAACCGTGAATCGACTACAACGAACATGACCAGGGTAACTACGACCATCAAACAGATCAATATCAGGAGGATGGAGTATCCACCTGGTTGGTGATAAAATACAAATGTCAGTCCATAAAATATTCTCTGTCCCACCACAGCTAAGCCTTCTCATTTCACAAGGGTGGGGCATCCTAGAGTCCTCATCCGTACGTTCTAGAGCCCTCATTTTAATTCCTTCCCAACCCTCTTCCATCAAGCCACCAGTTCATCTCTTCTTTTCTCTTTGGTACCTCTAATCCCCTACTTCCATTTCCTCCAAATTTAACTGCTGTCATTCTCTGCCCTTCTTTATTTGGATTCTCCTAATTTTGATGTTCTTGTGCTGGGCATCCGACCCATTACCCCTGCTACTCACAAAAGCCCTAGGACTGTCTTGTATGACTTCTCAGCTGGGTCCCAGCCATTTCTCACCCCAGTGGATGATTATGTCTTGGCCCCTGAGACTGCTGTGCTTCCCCTGGATGAGACAGGCCAGCCGCCTCCCCAGGTGCCACATCCAGGGTCACTCGGAGATACCATGTCCCATCAGCACTGGGCAGGAGGTAACTGTACCAAGTGCCCATCTGCTCATGCTCACCCTGCATCCACCTCACCTACACAGGCTTTGGGTAGAATCCGGAGATGTGACACACCAGCAGCAGATGGCCATGCCCAGGACTGGGACCTCTGGACACCCAGCCTCTGGCATCACTGGAAAAGAGAAGACAGGGAGAAACAGAATTTAAGGAAAACCCAGGCCAGAGCCCTGGGACTCAGGTGCTTTAGAAGTTTGAGCAATCACCTCTTTCTCTTGTGTAAGAAACAATCCTCAACCCACACATCTAACCCTATAGCCTCTCATTATGTGTTTCAAAATGATAATGAGAATGGGCAAATTCAAATACAAAAGTTAAAGCACTAGGACTAAGAGAGGAGAGAGAGTCGGGCTCACCTTGTCTTTCCAGTTCTGACTTTCCCGCTACAAGGAGGCCTGCCAGAAATCGAGGGCAGGCGTGACCAAACATGCTCTGGACTATTTCTTTAATATCTCGGTAGTGATTGAACACCTTGCAGACATTCTGGGCCTGACTCCCTGCTGCTGGAGACGGCACCCAGGAACTTCCTTGGAAACTGAGGAAATGTGATCCTTGATATGCTCCATTTACGAAGATTTCTGAGACCTTCCCAGCGTGCATTTTACAACCAGCTGATATCTGGAGCTCAAAGGGGTCTGGGCGTAGAGAGGCAAGAGAGAATCAATATGGAAAGAATGACAGGAAAGAAAAATAAACAATTTAGAGAGTAGTGGGATTCAAGGGAAGGAAAATTTGCTGGGAAATCAGATGGAAGACTAGAGTTTAGGTCAAAAAGAGGAAGGAAATTTGTGGAAATAAAATTTGAAGATTATGAAGGTACTTTGAAATAATTATTGGGGAAGGCTAATCTGGAAGAACTCATATGAGAGTGGTAGGTGTAGGACAGGCCACATGAACGTTCAGGTCAAAGAGGAAAGAGGCCAGAAACCTGGGGAGGGATGACTGAGTCTCAGGCCAGAAATTACTGGCAGAAAATCAACAACAAACAACCATTCCAGGTAGCCAGAACTTGAGGGTATATTCAGGGGCATGCAGAGATAAGTACATGCAGGCCCTGCACTGTATATTGGGTGGAAATAGTGATTGGTGCAGCAGAGGAGGGAGTGGGAGACAAAGGGAGACAGGAAACAAGTTCAGGAAGGTAGCACAATGGTCAGGACTTATACACTATCTTCCCCTTTGAAAGATGGTTGGAGCCCCTGGGCAAATCATCAGCTTATAACAGTGAACTCACATTCAAACTGAAATTGACTGGCAAAGGCCTGTACTTCCTGGCAAAACCAC